CCAGGCTAATTTTGAACTCATGATCTGTCCACCTTGGCCTCCCAAAGTGCGAGGATTACAAGTGTGAGCCACCACACCCGGCCTGAAATCCTTTTTTAAACCACATGATTTGGTCTTGATTTGGAAAATATAGTCCTACCATATCTTTTATTCTTTTCCCATTCTAAAATTATGTGATTCTAGCCTAAATGCAGAACAACATCCCATTTCACATCCACTGTCATCCTTCTCAAGCCCAGATTTCACCCACTTTAACATTTAACTTTTCTACCAAAACTGTAATTATCTTCAAAACTATATAATTGATCTTTTCTGAAGTTATTATAACTCACAGTGCCGTGTTTTTAGAACAGCTGGATTGAATGCTTATTGTGTGTGATATAATTAATAGAACCCTAAGTGTAATAGTGAGAGAGGGAAGGGTATAGAATTTAAATAGTGATTTTTGTCAGAAAAACGTGGGGAAATTATTTGTGGGGTTTAGTTACAATTTTTCAGGGATTTGCCTTTATTTTCTCTGTGTTCCAGGTCTTGCCTGAAATTTAGAAGCCCCTTTCTTGCCCTTCCTTTCTGGTGCTGTCAATACTGGTGATCTTCACCTCTGAGGAAGAAAAGCCCTCTTCCCACAGTCCATGGAGAACACTCAGCATCTATGCTTGATTGTGACAGGGCAGATTTTGGATGGATCATGAAATGCTTCTAAAGTAGCCAAGAGTTAACTCTTCCTAACCTTTTTATATAATAAGCATGTTACCACCAAGGTAACTTACCCAGGGGAATCAACTACATAGTGGAATCACATTATTTACACATTTAACTTACGCAAATTCAACTCTACTAAAAAAAAACAAAGTACATGAGTGAGAGAGAAAAATAACAATCTAAGTAGCATATGTTAAACCTTCCATTTCAGTAAGTCTCAGGCAATGGATGAAATCAAATCTGAAATAGTCAGTTCATATTGGTGAAAGTTATGGAAAGAATGTGAGGATGATTTTTAAAGGTTTTCTAGTTGTTGATAAAGCATGTTCAGGTCACTAGGCAAGTCGGTGGGACAACTTCTTTGACCTTTACAGGGGTTATTAAAGATTGTTGAGAAGGCCGGGCGCGGTGGCTCAAGCCTGTAATCCCAGCACTTTGGGAGGCCGAGACGGGCGGATCACGAGGTCAGGAGATCAAGACCATCCTGGCTAACCCGGTGAAACCCCGTCTCTACTAAAAAATACAAAAATCTAGCCGGGCGAGGTGGCGGGCGCCTGTAGTCCCAGCTACTCAGGAGGCTGAGGCAGGAGAATGGCGTGAACCCGGGAGGCGGAGCTTGCAGTGAGCTGAGATCCGGCCACTGCACTCCAGCCTGGGCGACAGAGCGAAACTCCGCCTCAAAAAAAAAAAAAAAAAGATTGTTGAGAAGCTACCCTTAAGAATTAGAGGAACTGGCTGGGCGCGGTGGCTCATGCCTATAATCCTAGCACTATGGGAGGCTAAGGTGGGCAGATCACCTGATTTCAGGAGTTCGAGACCAGCCTGGCCAACATGGTGAAACCCTATCTCTACTAAAAATACAAAAATTAGCCGGGCATAGTGGCATGTGCCTGTAATCCCAGCTACCTGGGAGGCTGAGGTAGAATCGCTAGAACCTGGGAGGCAGAGGCTGCAGTGAGCCAAGATCGTGCCACTGCACTCTAGCCTGGATGATACAGTGAGACTCTGTCTCAAAAAAAAAAAAAAAAATTAGAGGAACTAACAAAATCCCCTACAAAGAATGACATGATGAGAACAAGTTGACATTTTTATAAATGTACTAAGTGCTTAAAGGAATGAAACACCTGGTTAAATTTCTGAGTGTTCTTTATGGATTTCCAGTGGTTATTTTTACTACATACTATTGCACCTTTATAACCAGTCCCCTAAGTAAGATGCTACCCTACCAAGTGGAAATTGCACTGATTTTGTTTGACAGTATAAATTGAGTAAGATAATGAGTAATTTCATTAAGAAGCTGGTTCGTGGCTGATACTTCCATTTTTTTAAAAACGTGGGCATGTACTTCTTTTAGAAGTCTTTGAATTTAAAATCTAGATTCTATAATGAAGTGAATATTTCTTAACCATCCTAATAATTTGTGCCATCTACACCATTTTACTTTATTAGTATGATCTTTTTCCATGAATGTCCACTGCTTGGCCAGTTACTACCTTGAGATTACATAACTACCAAGTGAAAAACCATAATTGGCTGACTTGCTTTTTAAAAATACTTTGTTTTAGTGTACCTAGCATGTGAAGTACATTTTTCTTCTGTGATCATACAGGTGAACATGATTAAAGATGATGGGACAGTTATTCATTTCAACAATCCCAAAGTCCAAGCTTCCCTTTCTGCTAACACCTTTGCAATTACTGGTCATGCAGAAGCCAAACCAATCACAGAAATGCTTCCTGGAATATTAAGTCAGCTTGGTGCTGACAGTTTAACAAGCCTTAGGAAGTTAGCTGAACAGTTCCCACGGCAAGGTAGGTATTTCAATTTAGTAAATCTTTCTCTCCCCACCTTACTTAAAGAACCTAATCATTTACAAGGTGTCCCATCTTAATTTGGATTTGCCTGAATGTAATTATTTTACTTTCTATAAAATTATTTCTATGCTTCATAAAATTCTGAGTTTGTTTCTTTAATGATTATGTAGTGTGACACATAGAATATTCAGAAACATGGCTGGGTGTGGTGGCTCACGCCTGTAATCTCAGCACTTTGGGAGGCCGAGACGGGTGGATTGCCTGAGGTCAGGAGTTCGAGACCAGCCTGACCGACATGGTGATACGTCGTCTGTACCAAAAATACAAAAATTAGCCAGGCATGGCAGTGGGCACCTATAATCCCAGTTACTTGGGAGGCTGAGCCTGGAGAATCGCTTGAACCCGGCAGGCAGAGGTTGCAGTGGGCCAACACTGGGCCATTGCACTCTAGCCTTGGCAACAAGAGTGAAATTCTGTCTCACAAAAAAAAAAAAAAAGAATATTCAGAAACATTTTGGTAGTAATATAGTAACTTGAGAGGTAATTACCTAAAAGGATAGTGCCAGGATCTGCAGGCCATAATTTTATTTTATTTTATTTATTTTTGAGACAAAGTCTCACTCTGTCTCCCTGGCTGAAGTGCAGTGGTGCAATCTCAGGTCACTACAACCTCCACCTCGTGGATTCAAGCAGTTTTCGTGCCTCAGCCTCCCAAGTAGCAGGGACTACAGGTGGTATGCACCACTGTATCCGGTTAATTTTTGCATTTTTAGTAGAGACAGGGTTTCGCCATGGTGGCCAGGCTTGTCTTGAACTCCTGGCCTCAAGTGATCCACCTACCTTGGCCTCCCAATGTGCTAGGATTACAGGCGTGAACTACGATTCCTGGCCCATCATTTTAAATATTTAATTTAATATTCACTGCTAATTAGTGACAATCAGAAAATCTGTTGTATGGCTGGGCACAGTGGCCTACTCCTGTAATCCCAGCACTTTGTGATGCTGAGGAAGGAGTATTGCTCGAGGCCAGCAGCTCAAGGCCAGCCTGGGCAACATGGTGAGACCCTGTATGTACAAAAAATACAAAAATTAGCCAGGTGTGATGGAGCGTGCCTATAGTCATAGCTACTCAGGAGGCTGACGCAGGAGGATCACTGGAGCCCAGGACTTCAAGGCTGCAGTGAGCTATGGAATGCCACTGTACTTCAACCTGGGTAACAGAGGGAGACCCTGTCTCTTTAAAAAAAAAAAAAAAAGAAAAAAGAAAATAATGTCAGAATCTATGTTTTTGTTAAATATTATTGATTGCCCTATAAATATGGCAACCATAACTTCTGAATTTCCAAGATAGTCCTGGTTTCAAATTATGTCATATTGCCCCTAAAAATGAAAAAGCCTAGTATTGCAGTGCCTGTACTACTTAGCTAGATATTTTCTTACATCAAAAGAAATGAAAAAAAATTGATTGATTGATTTTTTTTGAGACAGAGTCTTGCTGTCTCACCCAGGCTGGAGTGCAGTGGCATGATCTTGGCTCACTGCAACGTCCACCTCCCGGGTTCAAGCAATTCTCTGCCTCAGCCTCCCAAGTTAGCTGGGATTACAGGCGCCTGCCATCACGCCCAGCTAATTTTTGTATTTTTAGTAGAGACAGGGTTTCATCATCTTGGCCAGGCTAGTCTTGAACTCCTGACCTTGTGATCCACCTGCCTCAGCCTCCCAAAGTGCTGGGATTATAGGCGTGAGCCACCGCACCTGGCTTTTTTTTTTTTTTTTTTTTTTTTGAGACAGAGTCTCACTCTGTTGCCCAGGCTGGAGTGCAGTGGATTACAGGCATGAACCACCATGCCTGGCTGAAAAAAAATATTAATATTAATTTTTTTATTTGGAGAATATGGCCACTGTAAAGTCTTTTTACTCAGTGATCAGTTATTCCACTTTGCATATAAATTTTATCTTTGTAGGCCGGGTGTGGTGGCTCACCTCTGTAATCCCAGCACTTTGGGAGGCCAAGGCAGGTGGATCCCTTAAGGTCAGGAGTTTGAGACCAGCCTGGCCAACATGGTGAAACCCCGTCTCTACTAAAACTACAAAAATTAGCTGGGTGTGGTGGCATTTGTCTGTAATCTTAGCTACTTGGGAGGCAGGGAGAATTGCTTGAACTTGGAGGTGGAGGCTGTAGTGAGCCGAGATCGCACCACTAAACTCCAGCCTGGTCAACAGAGTGAGACCCTGTCTCAAAAAATAAAATTCATCTTTGCCACACATTGAAATTGCCAGCTGTGTATCAGTGTATATCTAAATTAAAGTTTTTTTTATTTTTAATGTTACTCAAGCAAAAAACTATGAATGGCATTTTAGATTGACAATATTTAGCTTTTTCTGAGCAACTGGATGTGATTTATACAGGAAAAAAGGGATAAACATAAGTTTTCTTTAAGGTCTTTGTTCTCAATGACTGATACTAAAATAAACTTTTTGTAGTCTTGGACAGTAAAGCACCAAAACCAGAAGACATTGATGAGGAGGATGATGATGTTCCAGGTAAGTGACATTTCCTTAGACTTAAGATTTTAAGCATCCTGTTTATCTCCTTTCAGTCACTGCATAGATGACTTTTAGGTTTGTGTTGATTGTAAGTTCATGAATTTAAATTGATTCACAATAATATGGATAGGATCTAATGTAAAACAATGCAAGCCCCCACCTTAGAATCAGAAATTATCACACAAAGCTCTGCTGCCTGGATTTATTAAATTGAAATCACTGTGATTATAAATCTGCATAGCTATTGTTATAACATTTCTGTGTGAATTATAATTGACATATGAATTCACCTCAGTAGTTTGCATAGACAAAAAAAAGATGAACATTTCCTTAGGATTACTGTCCTAAGCAGATAATTAAATCATTGTTAGTAAAATGCCACCAGTTCATTTCTGCCTCCTTACGTTTTCAGGCTAATTCTAATTGTACTAATTTTATTTTTATTAGGGTTAGAAGTTAGGTGTTCCATTTACCTCTTTTTCCTTTTTTGTATTCTTTGATTCATATGCTTTGTTTTTCTTTTTCAGATCTTGTAGAAAATTTTGATGAGGCATCAAAGAATGAAGCTAACTAAAAGTTTGGTTTTTGGAAGCTGGCATGGACTAGATTTAACAAATCAGCTATGTGGTTCCAAAGTTTTACAGACACAGAGAACATCACCTGTTACTAGTTCAGTAATATAAATATTTTGTATATTAATAATGCTGTTTGTTCAGCATTTTTCGGTCATTTGATTTTGCATTTTGCACTTCCTCCCAGGATATTTTTTTGGTCAAAATATGAAGTATTGGTGCAGTTTGAGGGTGTTTTGTTTTTTTGATTCCTGGTTTTTTTGTTTTTTGTTTGGGGTATTTTTGGTGTATGTATGTTTATGTATGTGTGTGGGTATGTGTGTATACAGTGGAGAGCAAATTGGAAAACAGTTCTATTTATCCTCCTCCCTCCCCAGTAGAAATAAAAAAAAAAAATCTTTACATTTGTTACTTTTCTTTTCCCCCATAAGGCACAGAATTAATGGAAAGTGAGTGTCTTGGATTTCAGATCTGAAGAGATTTTTACCATTAGTGGTTTGATTTTAATTTGCTTGGTTAACTATCATATTTTTCATATACTTCTCTGGGTTTAAAATGTCTTGGAGGTATTTTGCCACTGGCTTCATGCTGGAGTAATGGGTAACATATCTTTGGTATGGTTACCTTAGATTCACTTACCTAGTCAGACCCAGAAGAACTTCTTTTACTAGCTTGCTTCCTAAATGCCTTTTTCCCTCTCCTTTTGGTCTCCAAATGGCCTGGTCAGCTTTTGGTAATATTCTTCCTCATCTTCCACCTAGCTTGAGAAGGATGTTCTCCATATAGAGTTAAGCGAGTGCCTAATCCCTCCTTTTGTAAGATTTTGTTCCCTCATCTTGAGGAACAACAACTTCATCTTCAACTTTTTATTTCCCCCCAATTTTACAGTAGATTTCAAACTGGAATAGCTAGCATGTGCTTGCTAAATAATTTTATGCCAGCCTTATCCTGTATCCTAGCTGTTCTTAATAGCAGGTACAAAAATGCCTCTTTTTCAGCAAGGTTGAAATTGGGAATGTCCTTTTGAATCAGAAGAAAATAGGCCATAGACTCATCCCCCAGCACAAATGGGCATTCTATGAAATGGTACTGGCCCTAGGAGGATTTCCTCAACCACTCTCCTACTCTTGGCCTTGAACCTACCTCTGGGTTGGATCTTACTATTGTAGCTGCTCACTGTACCCTCCTGCATGCTTAGAATAATGCTTTGGGGGGAGCACTGGTAAAACACAGTATTTATTTTTTTTACCTCCTTTAAGAGGACTTGGAGGTAAGTTGCATTCATTCACTCAAGTTTCACTCTTGCTGTCTAATAGAAGCTTACGTTTTGCTATATCAGCATTTGTTACAGCCAATATTTAAGGATAAAGTTTAGAAAATATATCATTTCCTGGCCCATCATCAAACTAATACAGCTTAACCTTGCAGCTACCAACTTTTGTGTCAAGCTGGGTATCTTTATTTGATATCTAAGGTGCAAGACCAACAATATATTAAGAGATCTATAGACATGAAGGCAAAGCTCTTGTATTTTTTTTCATCCAAACACCTCAATTTATTTTATAAATTTGTTCATTTTTCCTGTTATGTTTTATATAATATATGGACTAAACAAAATAAAATAACAGTACAAAAGAGGAGACTATTTCCTCTTGTGCTTTTCTTGATGTTGTGTACAGAACTTCCTTTTCTATTATTCCTCTACTCTCCACCTGTAAATGAATGTTAGTGCAGTAATTGTTTGAAATAATGCCTCATCCAGTGTTAGATCAGTAGCTCTACATGATCTATACAGTCCAGAATTCTTTCTCTAATTGTCCCAAAGGGGGACATTGTGGAGGCAGAGTTAGGGGGACCACTTCTAGTGGTTAGGGACAGATAAAGGCAGTATAGCGCATGAAAGAAAACACACACTTGGAAGCCAGGAGACTTGTGTCCTAGTCAAAATTCTGGCATTAATTATGTGACCTTGGACAGGCCTTCTAACTACTCTGAAATCTATCAGTCAAAATAAGATGTTTCTTTTTTTTTTTTTTTTTTTTTTTTTTTTTTTTTGAGATAAGAATTTGCTCTTGTTGCCGGGGCTGGAATGCAGTGTTGCAGTCTTGGCTGACTGCAACCTCCACCTCCCAGATTCAAGTGAGTCTCAGCCTCCAGAGTAGCTGGGATTTTTTTTTTTTTTTAAGTAAAAATGGGGTTTTACCATGTTGCTCCACCAGGCCGGTCTTGAACTCCTGACCTCAGGTGATCCATTTGCCTCAGCCTCCCAAAGTGCTAGGATTACAGGCGTGAGCCACTGCGCCCAGCCCAAATGAGATGTTTCTAAATCTAAAGTTTCTTCTGCTTCTGCATTTCTGTGGATCTCATTTGAAATTTTTCAAGGAAGGGATTTTATCGTGTGTTCAGAGATGGCTTTATTTTTATTAATACCCATAAAACGTTTGTGTATTTGCTTCTTCCTCTTTCTCCTTTTGATCACATTTTAGCTGCTCATCTAGAGGATCTCTGGCCAGTATTCCTTTTTATTGTATTGATAACAATTCTTAATGGCTGGCCTCTCTTGTGTACAATGAGCCAATATTCTTTTTTGTTCTATATTTTTGTGTCTTCCCCTTTCCTGAATAAAGCATGTTTAGAGTCTCAAAGAAATCCTCTCCACAAAGACATGTTCCTCCCTCCAGTGTGGATAGACATAGGGTAAGAGTTTGGATGAAACTTTTGTAAATAGTAGTGTTCTTGGCATAAATATGAATTAAATAGTTTTTTTATATTTAAAGAACTAGTTAAATATGTGCTTCTTACTAAGGTTAGGTATTTTTTGCCAAGATAACGATAAAAGCATTTTGTGGGAGAAATTGACCTTAAAATTTCGGGATAATTCAAGAAATGTCTGCAGAAAATTGATTTATGATCTTAATTTTTGTATTAGTCCTTTGAGGTTTGTTTGTTTTTTGTAAAGCTCCTCATCTGTTTTGGACAAGTCCAAAGTAAATGGTTGGGCTCTTATATCTGTTTTACCCTTATTTTTCCTATTAAGTAATGGTTTAAGAATATATCAAGCACCATAATTTGTTGTTAAGTAGCTAGTGCTTACAGGATTCCATTAAATTCACTTTAATAAGTCTATGAAGTTCTTATGAAAAACTTGTATCAGGGATGTGTTTGATTTGTTTCTTTGTTTAATTCAGTGTTTAACCCTAGGTATGCTATATACCCATAAATAAGATACCGTTGTAAGAGATAGTATGGTTTGGTGGGAAAAGCACAAGTTTTTAGATAGAGATCAATTCTGCTATCTACCATTATGTTGTAACCTTTCTGACAGGGCTGCTGTCGTGCACGACTTCGGGAGCCATCATTTATTTTTGTGGTGTTCCAGAAGGTGTCATTTTCATAGACCACAGTGTGGATGGCCTTGCTCTCTGAGCCTCAGTTTTATCTATAAAATGGTACCTAGAAGAGTCAAATGATTTCTTAGAATCCCCTAAATTATTAAGGTGAAGGTGAAAGGTGATTAAAGCGTGTTATCTCCGAAGCTATGGCTTAGGAGATTTTCCGAAGCTCACAGTTCTAGGCACAGAAAGTCTCCATTCTGCACTGCATTTCAACCTGTATTGAGCAACACTCCAGTTCAGCCTGTATTGCTATGCCACATAGAGTTTGCCTGGATTATTATAGCTTTCTTAATAATTTTGTTTATGATCCACTCTCTCCAGCCCACTACACAGCAGCCAGCTACCTAAATTTCATATCTGAGTACGTCCTTATATTTACTTACAACATACTGTTTGTTTGCCATAGTAGAGTATTAAGATTATTTGATTTTCTTTTTGCTTTCTCATAGTGCCCAATGTGTAGTCTACTCAACATCATAATATGTAACGTTTTTGAACTACTGACTATTGAATACAAGCTTATTTAATTCTCAATCCAGTGGGGCAGATATTATAATCCCTATCTTTTTTCTTTTTTTGAGACGGGGTCTCTATCACCCAGGCTGGAGTGCAGTGGCACAGTCTTGGCTCACTGCAACCTCTTCAAACAATTCTCCTGCCTCAGCCTCCCAGGTAGCTGGGATTACAGGTGCCTACCACCATGCCTGGCTAATTTTTGTATTTTTAGTTGACATGGGGTTTCACCATGTTGGCCATGCTGGTCTTGAACTCCTGACCTCAAAATGATCTGCCCACCTCAGCCTCCCAAAGTGCTGGGATTACAGGCATGAGCCACCGTGCCCGGTCTATAATCCCTGTCTTAAAGAAGAACGAAAAAAAATGGTTTAGGGAAATTGGCAAAAGGCCAAACAACTAATTGGTGGGGAACCAGGATTCTAATCAAAAGCTATCAAATCCCAGGGTCTAAACTTATCACTCCATACCACTCAACAAATACTTATTGAAGTGAAAATTATGTTTACATAGCCTCTCCAGTTAGACATTCTCACCAATTAATACCACTCAATATTAGCCTGAAAGTCAAACCTGTCATAAGGATTGTTCAGGATCTAAGGATTTTCTTTTTTAAATAAGTAGGGTTTGTAATTTTTGCATGTATTCAGGAGTTGACTTTTATAAAGTTAATAATTGAATATTTTGCATACTTCAGGATGTTTCATAGCAGCATTTGGGCAAAAATTCTTGGGTTATGTATGTTGATCTTGACACTGGTGTTTCTTAAAATTTTGCTACCTTTTAGGCATACCTTGTTAAAGAAGAACTATAAACCTGAACAAGGTAGTGAATTTATCTTGCAGCCATACTTTTTCTGTGTTTAAAATCAAACTATTCAACACAAACTATTAGAACTAATAAAGGAGGCTGGGTGTGGTGCCTCACACCTGTAATCCCAGCACTTTGGGAGGCTGAGGTGGGCAGATCACTTAAGGAGGTCAGGAGTTTGAGGCCAACATGGGGAAACCTCATTTCTACCAAAAATGCAAAAAAAATTAGCCAGATGTGGTGGCACACACCTGTAGTCCCAGCTACTTGGGAGGCTGAGGCATGAGAATCACTTGAACCTGGGGTGCAGAGGTTGCAGTGATCTGAGATCACACCACTGCACTCTAACCTGGATGACAGAATGAGGCTCTCTCTAAAAAAAAAAAAAAAAAAAAGGCCAGTCGCGGTGGCTCACACCTGTTATTCCAGCACTCTGGGAGGCCAAGGTGGGTGGATCACCTGAGGTTAGGAGTTCGAGACCACCCCGGCCAACATGGTGAGACCCCATCTCTACTAAAAATACAAAATTTAGCCAGGCGTGATGGCGCCTGTAATCCCAGCTACTCACGAGGCTGAGGCAGGAGAATTGCTTGAACCCAGGAGATGGAGGTTGTAGTGAGTCAAGATCGCACCATTGTACTCCAGCCTGGGCAACGAGAGCAAAACTCTGTCTCACAAAGGGAAAAAAAAAAAAAAGGCCGGGCTTGGCTAATGTTTTTGTATTTTTGTAGAGATATCACCATGTTGGCCAGGCTGGTCTCAAACTCCTGACCTCGTGATCTGCCTGCCCTGGCCTCCCAAAGTGCTAGGATTACAGGTGTGAGCCACCACGCCCGGCCTCAATTGCATTTCTGTATACTTAAAAAGAATAATCCAAAAAGGAAATTAAGGAAACAATTCGATTTACAATAGCATCAATACGAATAAAATACTTAGAAATAACCAGTGATGTATGGTGACGGTATGTACACTGAAAACAAATAATTAGACATCCTGTGTTAATACACTGGAAGACTTAAGATGTCAGTACTACTCAAGGTGATCTACAAATTCAATGCAATCCCTGTCAAAATCCCAATGATGTTTTTTTGAAGAAATAGAAAAACTCATCTGAGAATTCATATGGAATCTCGAGACCCAAAATAGCCAAAAGCGTTGGAAAAGAACAACAAAGTTGGAGGACTAACATTTCCTGATTTAAAAGCTTATTTACTTAAAAGCTACAGCAATATGGGCCAGGTGCGGTGGCTCACGCCTGTAATCCCAGCACTTTGGGAGGCCATGGCAGGTGGATCACGAGGTCAGGAGATCGAGACCATCCTGGCCAACATGGTGAAACCCGTCTACTAAAAATACAAAAATTAGCTGCGCATGCTGGCACGTGCCTGTAGTCCCAGCTACTCGGGAGGCTGAGGCAGGGGAATCGCTTGAACCAGGGAGTTGGAGGTTGCAGTGAACCAAGAAGATCACGCCACTGCACTCCAGCCTGGCGACAGAGCAAGACTCCATCTCAAAAAAAAGCTACAGCAATCAAAACCATGTGGTACTGGGCATAA